ATTTCTTATACGCAATAACTGTGAGCATTAATATGGGTCATTTGCCAATTCTGTTCCATAGAAACGTAGGTCATACAATCATTTCTGTGGATATATATACTTTGCAAGGTGTAGTGTATATGATATTGAAGTAAATATTATGAGAAATAGTGGATGAGATTATATGGACCTGTGATTGTCTCTCTTTTCATGCTAGATGATCGAATGTTAGACATTTGTTTAGCAAAATGAGTAAATTATTTGCATGATATTTAAAAAAGCATAAAAATTTGATATAGCACAGTAAGTAACTTGAATAGGATTTGTGATTATAATTTATTCTATGATAACCACATTTAGTACTTATAAAATAAACTAATTATATTATAGAATTGTCATCATTATTATTATTATATACATCAAATTGAAATAATTTTAATTATATTTATAATAAAAATAATATAATTACATGATATATCAAGTTATTTAATAGGGATCCAATTACTTTTGTAATTATTGTAAGGAAAAGGTTTATATGTTTCCCCTACAGTATAGAAGTTATATCCTCCCCCTACCATCCAACCATTCAATTTTGATAAAGAGAGTCGCTCACCATTTGATCTTAGATCCGACGTCTCAAAGTATTTTATTTTTAGTTTTTTTATACAAATTGTATGAATATGAAATTTGGTATGTATCATCTTCTCATTGAGGTGTACCTATAAAAAATATTAAAAATAATTTTTTGATAAAATATAATGAGCAAAATACCCCTTGAATCTTTCAGGGATATTTTAGTCATTTTATTTTATTGAAAATATTGTTTTTTATATTTTCGCTAGTGCGAGTTTAATAGAGGAATGAACAACCAAAATTTGGTATCAAAATAATTTATAGAAAAAAATTAAAAATAAAATAGTTTAGAGACGTGACATTGTGATTGGGGCAATCTCAACCCTCCATTCAGAATAGATGGTTGGATAAGGAGAAGGACATAACCTCTATGCTGTAGGGCAAGCATAGAAAGCTTACGCTTATTGTAATATACAGTACAATAGTGCGTTTATATTGTTCACATTGTTAATAGTACCTTAATTATATTTATATATAGAAGTAATATAATTACATGATATTAAATAGGGATCCGATTACTTTTTGTAATTATTGTAATAGTCAGTATAAAAATACGTTTCTATTGTTCATATTGGTAATAGTACCCATTTGAACAATTTTTATTGGATTGTTATTGCAATAATTACATATACTGATTATTATTATAATGCAAATATATAATATCATTAATTGCATAAATAGAATATTTACACACTTTTTATAATTGTTATTTTGTTAATATTTCATTAAAATTTCAGGATACTTTATTATTAATATCATTATAGTAATTAATTTTAGCTATCATAAAATATCTATTACCAATATGAACAATTTTTATTGGATTGTTATTGCAATAACTACATATACTGATTATTATTATAATGCAAATATTAATATCATTAATTGTATAAATAGAATATTTACACAATTTTTATAATTGTTCTTATACTAATATTTCATTAAATTTTCATGCTACTAAATAATTATTATCATAGTACTGAATTTTAGTTATCATAAAATTAGTGAACTGTGGTACAACCATAGTTAGCAAGTCGCCGATTTAATAACGACTTTTTCAAAAAAAATTGGTGCTTTTTTAAAAAATAATTTAATCTGCGACTTTTTCAATAGATAGATAAAAATTCGTGATCTTTTCAGGAAGAAGTTTAAAACGTAACTTTTTTAAAATTTGAAAAAATCGTTTCAAAAAAAAATTTCTATTAATATACTCTGATTTTTTTTTTTGGGAAAGTTCAATATCTTTTTCTTGTTTTATGAAATTTCTATTTCTATTCTCCGAAAACTTTCTCTGGTTCTCTGCTGTGGATATGGTGCATATTTTTTTGGGTGGTTATGAGTAGACCATAGTTAGCAAGTATGGGGTAGACTATTTCTTTCTAGAAAGATGAAAATTGAATTCATGTACCCAATACTTATCTTGACGAACAGAATAGATAAGCATCTTATGATTTAGAAGTGGATCACCTTGAATATTTGAAATTTATATTTATGGGGAGGTCATTTTTATACTGAGTGATATATATAGAGTGATAGCATTACTCCTCACTACTGTTAATTTTGTTTATATTGAGTGATATATATATTTAAAAACATAGTATCAATAACTTTCTATTTATTGTATTATTTTATAAATTATACATCTACTCCCACAACTCTCTCTCTCTCCTCTCAACTAGGAAAGGACTCAACATGAAAATATATAATGGAAAAATTTACTAAGAAGGAAATTTCTTTCTAATAAATACCCATACTTTATCTTCATCAATTAAATATTATGGACTAAAAAAAAAAAAGAGACTGTATACCATAAGATCATTTACCATTGTTGCAAGAAGATCGTTACTAGCTATTAGATATTAAATTTAATGGCTTGCCATATGTTATAAAGTTTGAATTTTTTTGTTAAAAAAAAGTTTTGAGTCTATTCAACGTCGTACCTACAACCACGGGATTTAAAATATGAAAGAGAAGAGTGCGCATTTCAAAGCAATTTGCCCTATTAAATATTTTATTTTTAAAACTACTTTCTAATTGTTTTTACCAGTGTTTTAAAAATCGGCGAGTTGAACCGGACTCGTCCGGTTTGACTTGAGAACCGGCATAGCCCGTACCGATTCCAATACAAAATCGGGAACCACCCGGTTCTAGAGAAGAACCGCCGGTTCCAATCCGGTTCTGTCTGGATCTACCATGTTCCCTCCCTACAAAGGGTGGGACACTCACGTGCACACGTGCGACACATGTGAGGTTACCCCAATATTTCTACACAAACATTTTAATTTATATTATATAGGTATTTATATACCAAAGTGGAATACCTATCTTTCGATGTGGGATAATTCCCAAACATCATTAAATGAAAAGAGAATTTAAATATATTATACTAATCATCAAGTTATAACCATATATGGTGAGGTGGCGTGGTGGTTAAGACCTTTGCTTCTTCATGTGATGTCTCAAAGTCGAGTCCCCTCTTGGGCGTTATTTTTTTTTGTTGTATATATTGTATAAATATTTTTGTAAATAATATAAAAAGCATAAAAAAATGAAAAATAAAAAATTTAATTTTTTGTATAGGAGTTAATTTTTGTTGTATATAGTGGTATAATTATTTTTTTAAATAATATGAAAAGCATAAAAAAATTAAACATAAAAAGTTTATTCTATTTGAAATCTCCATCTTTCTACTAACAATCTCTTTCACTAAATTTATTATAGAATCCTAAAAAAATAAATTTTTGAAAAATTGAAGTGTTATTTCCAAAATTTGTACGCATTTTATTAATTTTTACATTGATAACCAAATCGTTTATTTTATTTATTAATTTTTACATTATAAATCATGTAATGTACTATTTTTCTTACAGTTGTCAATAATACATTTTAAATTAGATAATATTATAAAATATTTTTAATTTGTTATTATTTGTCTAATAAAATAATTATAAAATATAAACTAATAATTATAATTTTAGTATATAATATTATAATTAGTTAGGTTTTAATAAGTTTGGATTATAGTTAGTTAGGCTGTAATAATTTGGATTTTTTTAACGGATTAGGGTTTTTCGCCAAAACGAGATTTTAATGGCCACTATTTCATTGATTAGTCTACTCTTTATAATAGTCCATGTATAATTATATATTTTATCTATGATAATTCTATGATTTTTCTTTATGTGATGCAGATTTAATAGTTAACATAAATTTATACAGGGAAAAGGCATCTCAATATTCACAAATTGATGAAAAAAATAAAAGTTAATAATGTAGTACCTTCATCTCTTATTGGATTCATAAAAAAAAATATTTATAATGAATTTTAATAATTTTTTCGGATTTTTTTGAAGCTTTAATCCGACCGATTCAGCCGATTCTCGATCCGAATCGTCGATTCGCCGATCCGGATCGGTTTTGTTGAGATGCCCGATCCAAGTCACCGACCCGCGTTTTAAACCATTGGTTTTTACCATCTTCATGGCTTGCGACATGAGTATAAATCAAAAGATTTTCTATTCCTACTATATTATACCATCCATCTACTCCCTCACACAAAACTTAGACCTGGTATGTCTTTTAGATCTTAAATTTAGAGATGTGATCTCTAAAATCCGGCAACCAACCTCAAAGAAAAAAGCATTCCAAAATTACATAAGAACAATCCATTTTTTGGAGGGATCTATATGTTTCTAAACTAAAAATTCAAAATTTTTCTTTGAAACTTCTCTTCTAGTTATAATTAGATGAATCCCATAATTTAAAAAAAAAAAAAAACTCTCTAATGCGTGGTTTGCCCGAAGGAGTAAATACTATGCTCCCAAAGTGGTTTGCCCGAAGGAGTAAATGTATACTATGCTCCTAAAAGAGCATGCGCCCTAATTATAAAAGTGTGGAGGGGAAACAAATAGTTCTCAAATAGAGAGGTATTTTTTCCACAAAAAAAAAAAAGCCAAAAGTATGCCATACCCTTTAGCCAAAGCACCTAATATTAGATAAACAACCAAAATTGTAGCTATAAGTCCGACAAAAAGATAGGAAAGCCTACTTCAAAAAAATTTATTGGAAGAGGTTGTTTTGATGCTCAAATATCTTCAAATCTCGATATCAAGATGCATGAACATGAACAAAAAAATAAATTGTAAGTCTCGAAAATAGTATATTTTATAATACATTTTTTTGCCATCAATTTTCACGATTTCATATATATATACCAAGCTACACTATTGTTGAAACTTTAAATTTTATAAATAAATATAAAAATATATTTTAAATGGTCTCAAATATTTTCAATATTAAAACCACATTTCTCCATATTATTTGAAGGTAGGCTCTAATTATTGTTTAGAGCCTAGGCCTACAGAAACTGCACCCGAAAAGACAGCGGCATCATTTAAAAAACAATAACGAAATTCCAGCTCCAAAATAGCCTGTAACCCTTCTTTTCTTCGCTGCAGTTTCTTTTCTTGTGTTTCTCCTAACAGGAGAGACTCACATGAATTAATAGCAGGTACGTCTCTCTCTCTCTCTCTCTCTCTCTCTCTCTCTCTCTCTAACCAGAAGAGACCTCTCTCCCTCTTCTCTCTTTCTGTCTCTAACCAGAAGAGACCTCTCTCCCTCTTCTCTCTTTCTCTCTCTAACCAGAAGAGACCTTTCTCCCTCTTCTCTCTTTCTCTCTTTCTCTCTCTAACCAGAAGAGACCAATGAATTAAGGTGCTCCCCTCTCTCTCTTGAACTAAAGGGACTTCTCTATCTCACCCTTGAAGGAGAAATTGAATTAATTCTTGGGCATTGAATTGCATAGTACTTGAACCCTCTCATTGTGAGAACCCCACTCACCTCTCTCTCTCTCTCAAAGCAAACTCAATTTTTAAGCTATTTTTTTGTTAGACCTCACTCTCTGAGGTCATAGTTTCAATTAATTATCTTTCATAGAATCACAGGATACTCAATCTTTCTTACCCCGTTGACCATTGTCTCTCTCTAATCATTCTTTATTTATTTATTTACCGTTTTATGATCGTAATAGAGTGAGGAATGTTTGGTTTTTTATTGTAAGAGAAACCCATTACTGCAATTTTGATTACAGCTCTCTGATCCTGCAAAGAAATGGCGGCCAATTGTTGTCGAGGTTGCATCGCTTTCCTATTAAAATTCCTCAATTTCTTTCAAACTTTTGTTGGGGTGTCCATAATTCTATACTCTGTTTGGATGATAAATCAATGGAACGACCGTGCCCATGTTCCTGCTCCTTTTGCTCCGATTCCCGAGAATTTGAATCCCTCTGTTTTGAGTTTGTATGATTCGAGAATTCGTGATTCAAATGGTGGGTTTCATAATCATGAGTTATTAGACATTCAGAGAATTGAGCTTTCTGGTCATGGTTTATCTCGGAAGCTTGGAGGAATTTCATTTAATCAATATGCTGGGATTAATTTTGAGACGCTTCCTGCTCCATGGTATTTTTCTTCGTTATAAGTTGTTCTGTTTCTTTAATAGAGAGTGGCTATTCATTTCTTGTTGCTCTGTGTAAGGAAACTTATGTTGAAAGAGTGCTAATTAGTGGTGCTTCTGTGTTTGAAATTTTTAATGCAGATTTTGCAAATTGCATGTGCTGATTGTGATATCGATTTTTGTAGTTTGTTACTTTTGCATGTTGTTACTGCTTGTATTACTGTTATTTCCTTTCTATGAAAAAGTGTTAAATTCTAGTCGAGATGAGGATGTCGAGATGGATGAGTGGCAAGACAATAATGGATAGAATTCGAAATGTATACATTCAGGAGATTTAGTTGTGGCACCAATAGGAGATAAGATGAGAGAAAGTAGACTTAGGTGGGCTGGCCATGTGCAACACAGACCCAATATGTATGCTTAGAATCGAGCATTTGACATTTCTTTTTTTTTTTATTATTACATTGTTAGGTAAGTGGCTTTGTAAGTGGCTTTCTCTGTTACTCATGCCTAAAATATGTATCATGCGAGTCATTATTATATATGTTAAAAAAGATATGCATGCTTGAAAGTTGAAATAAATGTAAAAATGACTGAATTTAAACAAAAATTACAGGCGGTATTTGTAGGTAGTAGTAGTGAGAGTGATAAGTTCATACATTCCTCATAGTTGGATGGGGGGATATTTGTATGCAGAAATGTTGGTGAAGCTGGGAACGAGGCACCTTGGAACAATGAACAGAGCCCTTAGGGACAAATGGACCTGGCCATTTGGGAAGCTTTTGCTTCATCGTAGGCTAGTGTAATGGAAGGAGAATATGGTGGTGAGAGAAATGGAATAGATTAGTCATCAAAGGAGGTTTAACAGGATCTTGGGGAGTACAGTGGGATCTATACTATGAATTTAGATATTGTATTTTTGAGAATGGTAGTAGCCTATTTCTTAGAATTGGAGATGGAAGTAGAGTTCTATTTTGGTTGGAGTCTGATGTGAGATTGATGTAGCTTAGCTTTCGCTGACACGTGTGCTGTTCATGGATTTCTGGGGGAACCTCATTTCATAAGAAACAACATGCACTAGGAGATAGAAGATTTTTTTTTTTTTCTTTCATTTTTTGGTTGCTTCTGAATGGTGATAGACGAGGTTGGTGCTCCTGTTTGAGTCCCGTGAAAGTAGTTTGTCAGTATCTCAAGGGTTGTCGAGGGAAATACCTTATGAAAAGTTTAGATTCCTAAAAGGTTATTAGATTTGGGATTTGAGATTGAAATTTAGACCATTTAAGACTTAAATCCCAAATCTAATAATTTCAATGATTTCCTTTCCAAGGGGCTTTATATGGAGTCAGGTCAAAGTTTTGTTGGATTGCAAAGAGTTGAAAAGGGGCTGGGCTTACTCTTATCTTGGAGATACATCACATTAAACGAAAGAAATGCTTGATTTACCTTTTCATTCGAGGCCAAGAGCTTATGGCTGAGATGGGAAGGTCTGGGAAGTTTTATCAAAAAGCACCCAAGATATAAACTGTTTAACATCTCATTCATTTATTTTTGTATTTAATTTTCAAGATGAATTATTATGTGTTCGAACAGTTGATATTTTAAGTGTGTTTTGATAAAGGAAAAAGTTTATAT